AAACTTTCTTCTGCACTAATGCCATTGGATGAATATTTAAGTTGTTCGGAAAAAATCCTTAGATTTCCTTAGATTTTTTCACTTCCTTAGATTTTCCTTTTCGACACTAGAATTTCCTTAGAAAAGGAAATTTCCTTGAAAATGGAAGCACTGAGGCTATCACTAATAGCCTACTAGTAGCGTAGCCAATCAGAACGCACGATACATGATAGCCTACTAGTAGGTTTATACTAATTACGCATATCTATGTGTTGTCACAAATGCTTTACAGTATAATTCGGCCCTACATTGTACTTCTACAAAACATATATACTGCCTAATTGATACACCAAAAGTGGCGAAGATTTAGAAATGAACAAAAACGGATTAGCCTGTCATGCGCAGTTTCAGTAAAAACTGGTGGTGGATTGATACAGTACTTTGAGCTAATCAACACGTATATACACTGTACGTTCGAGTAAATATTAAGATATACTGTATCTTCCACTCAACAATAATGGATTTTTAACCCTAGTCATGCCCTATTCTGATTCTGCCAAACTCAATGCTGAATCCAAATCATTATCACCGAGCGTGCGAGGGTACTAATTCCCCCCGGCTATTTACACCCGGGGAAACGAAAGCATTAGCGAAGTCTAAAGTTCACCAATGATCGCGGGCGTGGCTTACTGTGCGTGGGTGGTCATCCTCACTGATCTCAAAAATATGGTGGACTGTCGTGAATAGCGAACGCTAATCCGTTTTTGTTCATTTCTAAATCTTCGCCACTTTTGGTGTATCAATTAGGCAGTATATATGTTTTGTAGAAGTACAATGTAGGGCCGAATTATACTGTAAAGCATTTGTGACAAGACATAGATATGCGTAAATATATGCGTAAAGGCTGTTTTCCACTAACAGTCACCTTGCCCTCGGATTCACTCAGAGATTCCAACCTGGTTTTAGTTTTTGCCTCTTTAATTTCTTACACAAAAATCCCATCGGTTGTCGCAGATTCACAAATACGTTGTTCAGTAACAGGAACTGTTTGCTAGCAATTTCAGCAAAATGTACAAACATCACTCGTACCAATAACTTCATTGTATATTTGCATGGTGAAATAATTATCACTTATTTACTGAGACCGAGGGAAACAGTGTGTTTTGTGGACCCGAGACCGTCGATGTTTCCCGACGGTCGAGGGTCCACAAAACACACTGCTTTCCCGAGGTCTCAGTAAATAAGTGTTTTATTATATATCAATAGTCAAAGAAACAACAAATTAAAGAACAAATGAACGTAAATACATGAAATATTTTATTGTTAAAACG